CCCTAAGGACTAACACCGAGCGATTATTTGATCATCATCTCATCGTTCATCTTGTAAATATTTTCAAATCATGCTTTCTCCGAACACACAGACATTTTATTTGATGACTTTGCCGTTACTTTGAAGTGAATCATGGAACTTTTCACGGTGTTGCGTAAATGCAACAAATGCATTGCATAGCTATTTAGGTACTTGAACATGATGTCTCGATCATATATTTTATCATTTGTATGATTTTGTAAATTTGCCGTGAAATCTAAAAACTTTTTCAACTAAAATGAAAACAATAGAAATACTTATGTACGTATGCCGCAATAGTAAAATAAGAAAATTGCATTTTATTATTCTTATGGAATTTTTGTTAAGTCGGATAGCTTAACATATTTAAGTTGAAACTTAAGCTAATAACTTTAAACTTCAGTTGTATCAGTCAAGTGACTTTTGAATCATTTTTATGCTTTTAATAAAAAGTTTTTTTACTTAATATCATCTGCAAGATGCAAGTTGTGCATCTTTCCTTCATCATCGAGTATTCAGTATTACTTTGTCGTAATTTAATTAAGGAAATTCTTATTAACATTAAAAATGCATTCATTTAAACCAAATGCGTTTTTCTATATGACCAAAATAAGCAAAATTGTTATCCATTATTCTAAATTTAAATCCATAAATGTCACATGCGTTGGAAATATCACCATAATTTATGAAAGCCCTCACCAAACCATAAATGGTTGAAGGTAATTAAAATAGAATTAAAAAACAAACAAAAAAATAAAAAATAAAAAATAAAAAAAAAGAACTGAGAAAAAGAGAAAAGGAAAGGCAACAAATGCAACAGAGATACACTTTTGATATCCGTTTAAAGTGAACCCAACGCAAGCATACAGACTAAGAAAATTTTAAAGCTATTAGTCAACACAAATGCCAAAACTAATTCCTTTAACATTCAGTTGACAATCAACAATCAACAGACAACAACAAAAATAACATACAACAACAACAACAACACTAACAATAATAAGAATCTCGACAACAATCTGCTGCAGCAATGATCTTTCAACGATCATGATTTAATGATGCATCATGTGACTGCTTATGCTGTTGCTCTTGTTATTGTTGCCATTAACGTTGTTGTTGTTGTTGTTGTTGTTGTGATTATTATTATTGTTGTAATAAACAAGCAATAGCCGAAGATATTACGTTAATAAAACGAGAAAGGCAATCTAGAATGAAACTATGTTTATATAATAGTGATCGCGCAAGCAGAGAAGCTCAACATTTATGATAATGTTAAGTAGTAACAGTAGTAATAAGTTGTCTGTAAGTGTGTCTCTGTCTTTGCCCTGTTGTGTGTTGGCTCTCTCTTCATTTATTTGTTACTTTTCTAGATGAACGCATACGAATGTTTGAGACGATGATGATAATAATGAAAACGATGATGTGATGCGTTGTGAAGATGGCACGCGTACAATTGTCATTTTGTAAATTGCATAAACTGAGCAACATGACATAATGACAACTTATGTGTGAAAGCCTGCGACTGCGAGATAGGTAAGGTTGTTAATGTTTGTTTGAAGTTTTGTGCGTAAAAGCATACACATAACTAACATATCTCCTATTACGCCTCGTTATGTTAGTGTCACCCGAGCCCAATATCAAAAGATAACAAGCCAGGCCATAAAATAGGCGACAATCACCATCTCGTCAAGACTAGACCGGGTTTTCTTTTTATGTTTCTTTAAGTATCGAAAAATTCTAAAAAAAAAAAAAAAATTCTAAAAAGAAAAAAAAATGAAAAAAAAAAATGCAATTAAAAATGAAACACTCGCGTGCGAAAACTGTTGCCGTTCGTATCAGGAGCGGCCTAACAATATATTCTCAGGTCGTTTATCGGTTTGCCTGGCCGGTTTAATGGTTAATTGTTTGGTTGGCTAGCAGTCCGTATGGTGGCGCGATTCTATTTGCTGTTGTTTTCCATTAGAGTATATGGTGGTGGTAGATATGATTTGTTTCTCTTTTTTTATTTTTTTTTGTTTGTGCTTAATTATGCCTCTGTATGCCTGAGTGTTCGTGTTATTATTAAATTAATTTATTTTACTATTCAATTACATTTCATCGCAATAATACACATGAATACATTAAATACTCTCTGACATATGTTTGTTCAATACACTTTAAGTTTACATATGTATAAGCATTTATAGACACACAAGTCTGAACCTGTTGCCTTCATTTGCTACTTGAATCTACTTTACACCTCTCTATACTTTTTTATTGTACGCCAACCAGCCAACCTGCATGCCTGCCTGCCTGCCTGCCTGCCTGCCTACTTACTCGTTTGCTTTCTTGTTTGCTTCACTCGATGATTATATACGTACATACGTACGTACGAAAGTACGTACATCTACTTTCAGTTTCTGATTTTCAGTTTTTTTCTCGCTCATCTTTTCTTTTTTATTTTTAATAGTGAGAATTAATTTTATTATCTTGTGCCTTTGTGTGTGTGTGTGTGTGTGTGT